AAAAAAAAAACATAGCGGTAACGGCTGTTTTAGAAAGCACCTCTTCCTTTCCTGAAACTCAAACAACCTACTAGGCTACTAAAAGGCTAATCCAGACGAAGAAGATAGCGAGAAAACGACTCCTCAAGCCGAAGTAAGGGCGGGACCATCTTCTTTTCTGACCGTTTGGAGCTGCTCACAAGGCCTAAACCTTCCTGTAATCCCTGGAGCTTCGTCAGAGCCTTTTCCTTCCCCACAGGCCAGAGCTCAATTTACCTTCGCCATAGCTCTAAAATAAGGAGAATCAGCTCAAGATAAAAGGGCTCGCACTCAATTGATCCTGGTCAACACTTCCTGTATCTGGTTTTGACTTTATTTTGACTCCTTGTAGGGGCTCATGACAGTCCTGTAGGGGATCTTGCGGTGCTTGATCCCAGTGACAGAAGGAGAACCAACACGTATTGTATTGTTGCCATCGAGGATAACTAGATGTGGTTTTCATCATATTGCTTGGGTTTATCCCGCTACATCATGTCATCTTACTTAATGTGTTACTCTGTTCTTCATGAATTTAATACTCTAGATGCAGGCAAGAGTCGGCTGATGTGTGGAGTAATAGTAGTAGATGCAGGCAGGAGTCGGTCTACTTGATACAAATGTGATGCCTATATTCATGATCATTGCCTTAGATATTGTCATAACTTTACACTTTTCTATCAATTGCTCGGCAGTAATTTGTTCACCCACTGTAATATTTTCTATCTTGAGAGAAGCCTCTAGTGAAACCTATGGCCCTAGTCTACTTTCCATCATATAAGTTTCCGATCTACAATTTTAGTTTCCTATTTACTTTCTTTACAATCTTTTACTTTCCATTCCATAAACCAAAAATACCAAAAATATTACTTTACCATTTATACATCTCTATCAGATCTTACTTTGCAAATAACCATGAAGGGATGGACAACCCCTTTATCGCGTTGGGTGCAAGTTGTTGTTTGTTTGTGCAGGTATTCGATACTTGTGCGTTGTCTCCTACTGGATTAATACCTTGGTTCTCAAAACTAAGAGAAATACTTATTCTGCTTTGTTGCATCACCGTTTCCTCTTCAAGGAAAAAACGAATGCAAGCTCAAGAAGTAGCAACAACATATGTAATTCCCTTTGTCCATCGGTATGTTACTTGTCTGAGATTCGATCGTTGGTATCTTCATACCTAGTTCAATCTCGTTACCGGCAAGTCTCTTACTCGTTTTGTAATACATCACCTAGTGACTAACTTCTTAGTCATTTTCTTGCAAGCTTATGATGTGTATTACCGAGAGGGCCATCGAGAGGACCCAGAGATACCTCTCCGATACTCGGAGTGACAAATCCTAATCTCGATCTATGCCAACCCAACAAACACCTTTGGAGATACCTGTAGAACATCTTTATGATCACCAAGTTACGTTGTGACGTTTGATAGCACACAAGGTATTCCTCCGATAACCGGGAGTTGCATAATCTCATAGTCGAAGGAATATGTATTTGACATGAAGAAAGTAGTAGCAATAAACTGAACGATCATTATGCTAAGCTAACAGATGGGTCTTGTCCATCACATCATTCTCCTAATGATGTGATCCCATTATCAAATGACAACACATGTTTATGGTTAGGAAACCTTAACCATCTTTGATCAACGAGCTAGTCTAGTAGAGGCTCACTGGGGACACTTATTTGTTTATGTATCCACACATGTATTTAGGTTTTCGATCAATACAATTCTAGCATGAATAATCAACCTTTATCATGAATAAGAAAATATAAAATAACAACTTTATTATTGCCTTCAGGGCATATTTCCTTCATCTTTGAGTGTACCTGGGCAAAGAACTTTTGGCAACACCTAAATCTGCTCTCATCTGTTATGATACCTGAACTACACCTAGTTTCTTGGGCCATGGACATCGTTGACAACAAAATAGTGTCTGTAGACGAAATAGCTGTCATATTATGTGGAGCATCGGTTGTCTGGACGGAGATAAATGCAAGGGATCATGAAGGCAACACTAGACCAGTGGTGGAGTCAGTGAAATGACGACCAATGTTGTTCTTGATCTGTCTTCAGGTCACGCAGAGTCGGTACATGCAGAGAAAATTAAAGCTAAGTGGGCTGCGCCACCTAAAGGAATGTTCAAAATGAATGTGGATGCAAGCTTCATATCCTGTACCAATGAGGGTTGTATAGGCCTGATACCGCGGAACCATGAAGGAGTTCTGATGAGGGGTCAAGCAATCTGGTGGTATGGGCAATCTGCCAATGCTTTGATTATAGAGGCATTTGCTATTCTAGATGGTATCAAATTACTTTGCGGCATAGGTCTTTCCAAGATCATCATTGAGACGAATGCAAAGGAAGTGTCAATTTATGAAGGAACCGTACTGAAGGTAGATCGGAGATATCATCCATACTTCAGGAGATATAAGAGTTGAGCTTGAATACAGAAGATTTCTAGTTACCTTTTGTTGGTCATGATGCCAATGAAGGGGTGCAACTTTGTGCTAAGCAAGCCTATGAGAATAGAAGAAGGTGCTTATGGATCAATCATGTATGTAGCTTTTTAGTCTCTTGCTTGCCAAACAAGGTGCTTATGGATCAATCACGTACGTAGCTTTTTAGTCTCTTGCTTGCTGAATGATTGTAACCCCGTTGTTTAATGAACTAGCTGATACCCTGCACGTTGTTGCGGGAATATTTCGCAACATATCTCAGTGTGATTCGTTATATGAAACATGAATATTTGAAGTAATAATATAAAAGGCTAAAACTGAAAATACATATAATTCATTATGTTTGACTACTATATATTTGTAAATATTTATTAAATATAAATAACTTTATAGAATGAAAATTTTCATGTATGTTTGCATGTTGAGATGAATCTTTTCTCAATGCATGTTTCATGATGAAGTGACATGCTTGCATGTTGAAAGACATATGATAGTGGAGGTGGGCCTTTTCTCGTGCATGTTGTGTGATGATGTGGCATTCTTGCATGTTGAGAGAAATAGTTAGTGGGGGCTAGCTATTTAGATATAGAAGATGAAAGCTCTTAACTTGTAAAAAAGAGCAGGATGCCATGTTATTATATTAACAACCACAATCACATTGCGGATCACACTCCACATATAGGAGCAGCAGAGCATGCAAACAACAAATGATGAATATTTTTGTTCTCATCACAAAAACCGCAGGAGAAAAAGGAGGAGGGATGGGGACAAATGGCGCTAGGGTGGCCCCACCGCAGCCGTCGGCTGACCCCAGGGGCCACTGCCGGGTGCGCCGAGGGAAGGTGCGGTGAGACGGAGTTTAGGGTTCAATACTAGAATATGAAATTCGAAATAATCTACTCCCTCCGCTCCTAAATATAAGTTTTTTTAGACATTTTAAATGAACTACAAGATACAGATGTATGTAGACATATTTTAGAGTATAAATTCACTCATTTTACTTTATATGTAGTTACTTGTTGGAATGTCTAAAAAGACTTATATTTGAGGACGAAGGAAGTATTATGAACATTCTGCAAACAAAATAATACTACGCATAAAGTAGCAGAGTGTTTCTTACGATTGGAATCAACCAAGAAGCTAAACTCCGGAAAAAAGCAAATGTTTTCTATGGTTGCTAAGGAAAGTAGAGGAACAAATCCTGTTGAACTTCTCTCCTTTGTGGACCTGCACGTCATTTGATTCGAAAGTTTTGGATTCTTACAAAGGGTAGATAGTGGCCTATCGGAACATATGCACATCTGGCACATGACAAAGGAATAGATCGGTTCGCTTTCAAGGTCCACTCCCCATCCACGAAACGTTTTAGCATGAGAGAGAGAGAGAGAGAGAGAGAGAGAGAGAGAGAGAGAGAGAGAGAGAGTCGTACACTACTCATGAGATGAAACATGACCTTACACAAAGAGTTGACAGAATCGAGCACTAGTGTCCCGTGAGGCAGTGACAAACATACAAGTGAGGAAAAAGAGGCACGCCGCACGCGTGTAGAAGCAGAACACGACGTAGTGTTGGTACTTGCCGTCGTCGAGTACACACTCCACACTCGGAATTGTAGTTTTGTACACGAAACACAAAGATGGATAGACATGTATAGACATCAGACGTAGTAATACGTTTATTCATTGCACATGGGAAGCGAGCCACCACTCTTGGCACTAATCATAATAGAGAAAACAACGAGACCTTTTACGGTGCATCAAAATAATATGAGCCGTCCATTTTCAGTCAGTTAATGGACTAGATCCATCAATACTACCAAAGCAATTCAGTAGTATATTTTGTTCAAGGGGTAAAATTGGAAGACTTAGAAAATAAATACCCAAATTCTACATTCATTGAGGAATCCGTGTGTTTTCTTGTCCTGCTTGGACCGGTCCGGCCGACATTCAATGCAACAGAGACAATTGTACACAGCGATGGATCCTTGCCGGCTGGTATTTTTGGCCGAGAAAATCACCATGTACAATAAATTGATTGATCATTTGTGGATACATGCATTAGTGATTCCGGCGATCAAGCCGGCGGCAGTGGCCTCATAGGAAGCTGCAGCGACGACGCCGCGACTGATCAAGACGACGTACCGCCGGTTCTGTGGCCTGCTGGTAGATTTGATGCCAGGTCGGGGGCTTGGAGCTCCCACTTGAAAGGCACTCAGGCAGTCAGGCTAGCTCTGATCGATATTAGGCATGCGCTGTTGATCATGGGCGATGGCAACGACGAGGCCTCACGAGGATCGTCACCGCGAGGGATTTGACAAATTAGGAAATGAAAATAATGACAAAAGTACCCCGCTAATCAACGGCTGAGATGATTCAATATTGTTCACTTTCAGAGGTAGTATGATGCACCGTAAAAAATCTCAAAACAAACGGGAAGCAACAGACTATAGCAAATACATCCATTTCTATCTTGTTTCATCTCATCGATTACTTAGCTAGCAGCAGCGAGCCAGCGACGCCTCCTCATTAATCGGCGGCGGCCTCCACGATCCGCGCAGCCATGCCCTTGACGGTGGTCTCGAGGTAGCCGACGAGCCCGTCCCTGCTCCAGCCCTGCACAGGCTCGCACTCGAACTCCCACACGAGCTTGCAACCCGCCGCCTCCGTCTCCTCCTCGACAACCATCATGGTGGCGACGTAGCGGCCGAACCCCATGTTGCTGCCAACTACGGCGTAGCTCAGCCGGCGCGCGGCATCATCCAGCTCGAGCAGCTCTTCGCGGGCCCATGTCGCGATCGCGGCAGGCGCCGCCTCGTGCTGGTCCTGGTCCTCCTCTCCCGGCGCAGGCGCCGCGCGGGAGGCGACGTAGCGCACGCAGCCAGGGTGGCCGTCCTCCCCGGCCACGCGCTCGCAGACGTCGACGCCGGAGAGATACCGGTGCAGCGCGCAGAAGCTGGCAAGGTGGGGCCACGCTGCGGCGGCGGGCGTGGACGGGAGGAGGGCCTCCACCGCACCCTGCCATGCCTGCTGCTCAGACTCCTGTGTCACCTTCTCCATTTGTTATCGGCTCGTGTATGCACCGTTGCCTTGTGCTTGTGCGGTGGTTGCGTTTGACTCGCAGTGGTGATGGCGCCACTGCTATGTAATGGTGCAGCGTGGGAGCAGCAATCTCTGGTGGAGATGGATATGTCTTTTTTTTTTGCTGGAAGAGATGGAAATGTCACACGTGCACATGGTTTCCGATGATGTAGTACCAATTTGGCTTGTCACATGGTGCGGATATTAGAGCATCTTCACTCGTTCGGCTCCCAGCGCATTCGGCGAATACGTTTTCGCATTTGCGCCGGCGGTTTTTTCGTCCTGGGGCGATCGAGTACCTAGCCACGCCCTCAAGTTTCGGCTCCCAGACGTCTAAAAAATCAAATCTGTCTTTCCTGCTACTAAAAAACGCCACAAGTTCGGCGATCACCATGCCACAAGTCGGCAATTATCATGCCACAGTTCGACGATCACACATGCCCGAAAGTTCGGTGATCAAACATGCCCGAAAGTTCAACGATCAAAAGGAAGGAAGTATAGACATGTAACACATCAAACGGCGGGCCCCTTTGGCGTGGGACTGGCCGGGGTCGGCGTGGACGCAGGCGTACTCGGCATCTGCGTGGCTTCTGTGCTCGGGTTGGTGGTCGGCGTCGGCACCGCTTCATCGCTCGGGCTGGGCGTCGACGTTGTTGCCGGCGTGGGCGTAGGGGCAGTGGTCGGCGCTGGCCCGGACATCTGATTCAAGATGAGGCCGCGCTTCGTCAGGTACCACGCCTTGACCTGCTCGTCCATCGTCGACATGTCTGCCGCCATCAAGAACGCCATGTCGGTGTTCCTCTTCTTCGCGGCGACGTAGGTCCTGAGAAGGTCAAGCTTCACGTCTTGCTTCGTCATCAACGCCGACCATCACGCGCCGGATTTCTCCTCCCTCTTTGCGGCCCTGTTCTTGGCGTCGGCAATGCACTGCTCGATCGATAATTGCAGCCGTTCGGCAGCGGGTGCCGCGTCCCTCGCCGCCTTGGCTCTTTTGTTGCCATCAGGGCGCCCATCCCCGCCCCGGGGCAGGTGCGTCCGACTTGTACATCTTCTTGGCCTTGGCGAGGGTGAGTCAGACCTCCCTCCACTTCTCACATGACTCGTCCAGGAGAACAGGTGAAGGAACTTGAACTCTTGGTCGTTGTTGTCTTGGCGATACATGTTGAACATCTGAACCATCTGCACAGCCGAAGAACAAGTGTCGCCAACGTACACGGCGAAAGAAGTGAGCCGGCGACTGGACATACCTGACCCTTGACGTTGGCGCTGCTTTCCGGGCGAGCCGCGACCTCCTCGACAATCCCATGTCATCTGTTGCAGGCCGTCTGGATGATCACCCAATGGTTCTCCATGGCCTTGTCGCCGCGCTCCATGTGGATGTTAGCGAAGTAGGGGTCGACTACCTTGCGCTCATCGAACGCCTTCTTGATCCTTCTTCAGTATGTGTCGACATTCTGATTCGAGCTGGTGATCAGGTCGATGCTGACAGTCTTCCATGCTTTGGTGAGGCACTCGTCTTCCTTGGACGTCCACTTGACGGGTGGCTCGCCCGGCCTGGCACCGGCCACCCGTTTCTTCTTTCTCCCTTTTGTCACCGGCGCCGGCTCCGTCTCCTCCTCCGCCTGTTCTTCCTCCTCTCCCTCCTTGGTGTTGTTGAGCTCATCGTCCATGTCGACGGCGGTGTCCATTGTTTCATCTTGTGCGTGGAACCCAGGGCAGGAAGCGATGGTGATAGAGCCGCTCATGATGATCTCGTCCATGTCGGCGTAGGTGGCTTCGGTGTTGCCGAACTATGGCGACGAGCCGTGTGCGAAGGGTAGGGCACCCCGGCGTAGAGGCGGCGTCGGCGAGGCTGAGTACGCTGGCGGAGAGTAACTGTACATGGTGTCGAGTGCTACCTCTTGAGCTTGCGTTGGTTTTTCCCTTGAAAAGAAAAGGGTGATGCAGCAAAGTAGGAAAGTATTTCCCTCAGTTTTGAGAACCAAGGTATCAATCCAGTAGGAGACAACGCGACAAGCCACCGAATACCTGCACAAACAAACACCAACTTGCAACCAACGCGACAAAGGGGTTGTCAATCCCTTCACGGTTATTCGCAAAGTGAGATTTGATAGAGATGGATAAACGGTAAAGTAATATTTTTGGTATTTTTGGTTTATGGAACGGAAAGTAAAAGATTGCAAAAGAACGTAAATAGGAAACTAGAATTGTAGATCGGAAACTTATATGATGGAAAATAGACCCGGGAACCATAGGTTACACTAGAGGCTTCTCTCAAGATAGAAGATATTACGGTGGGTGAACAAATTACTGCCGAGGAATTGATAGAAAATCGCAAAGTTATGACGATATCTAAGGCAATGATCATGAATATAGGCATCACGTCCGTGTCAAGTAGACCGAAACGATTATGCATCTACTACTATTACTCCACACATCGACCGTTATCGAGCATGCATCTAGAGTATTAAGTTCATAAAGAACGGAGTAACGCCTTAAGCAAGATGACATGATGTAGAGGAATTAACTCAAACAATATGACGAAACCCCCATCTTTTTATCCTCTATGGCAACAATATAATACGTGTCAATTCCCCTTCTGTCACTAGGATAGAGCACCGCAAGATTGAACCCAAAGCTAAGCACTTCTCCCATTGCAAGAAAAAATAATCTAGTTGGCCAAACCAAATCGATAGTTTGAAGAGACTTGCAAACATATCAAAGCATGCATAAAATAATTCATAGGAGATTCAAATAATATTCATAGATAAGCTGATCATAAATCCACGATTCATCGGATCCCGGCAAACACACCGCAAAAAAGTATTACATCGAATAGATCTCCAAGAACATCGAGGAGAACATGGTATTGAGAATTAAAGAGAGATAAGAAGCCATCTAGCTACTAGCTATGGACCCGTAGGTCTGTGATAAACTACTCACGCTTCATCGGAGAGGCAATTGTGTTGATGTAGAAGCCCTCCGTGATCGAATCTCCCTTCGGCAGGATGCTGGAAAAGGTCCCTAGATGGGATCTCACAGGTATAGAAGGTTGCGCGGTGGAAAAGTGGTTTCGTGGCTCCCCTGGAAGTTTTCAGGGTATAGGAGTATATATAGGTGGAAGATCTAGGTCAGGAGGCCACCGTGGGGCCCACAAGGTTGGGGGAGCGCCCCACACCCCTAGGCGCGCCCTCCACCCTTGTGGCCGCCTCGTCGCTCTTCTGAATTGCACTCCAAGTCTCCTGGGTGTCTTATTGTCCATGAAAAATCATCGCAAAAGTTTTATCTCGTTTGGACTCCGTTTGGTATTCCTTTTCTGCGAAACTCTAAAACAAGGAAAAAACCAGAAACTGGCACTGGGCTCTAGGTTAATAGGTTAGTCCCAAAAATCATATAAAATAGCATATTAATGCTTATAAAACATCCAAAACAGATAATATAATAACATGGAACAATCAAAAAATATAGATACGTTGGAGACGTATCAAGCATCCCCAAGCTTAATTACTGCTCGTCCTCGAGTAGGTAAATGATAAAAACAGAATTTTTGATGTGGAATGCTACCTAACATATTTATCCATGTAATTCTCTTTATTGTGGCATGAATGTTCAGATCCGTAAGATTTAAAACAAAACTTTAATATTGACATAAAAACAATAATACTTCAAGCATACTAACAAAATAATTATGTCTTCTCAAAATAACATGGCCAAAGAAAGCTTATCCCTACAAAATCATATAGAATGGAGCTATGCTCCATCTTCATCACATAAATTATTCAAATCATGCACAACCCCGATGACAAGCTAAGCAATTATTTCATACTTTTGATGTTCTCAAACCTTTTCAACTTTCACACAATACATGAGCGTGCGACATGGACATATCACTATAGGTGGAATAGACGGTGGTTGTGGAGAAGATAAAAAAGAAGGAGATAGTCTCACATCAACTAGGCATATCAACGGGCTATGGAGATGCCCATTAATAGATATCAATGTGAGTGAGTAGGGATTTCCATGCAACAGATGCACTAGAGCTATAAGTGTATGAAAGCTCAAAAAGAAAACTAAGTGGCTGTGCATCCAACTTGCTTGCTCATGAAGACCTAGGGCGTTTGAGGAAGCCCATCGTTGGAATATACAAGCCAAGTTCTAAATGAAAATTCCCACTAGTATATGAAAGTGATAACATAGGAGACTCTCTATCATGAAGATCATGGTGCTACTTTGAAGCACAAGTGTGTTAAAAAGGATAGTAACATTGTCCCTTCTCTTTTTTTCTCTCATTTTTTCTCTTTTTTGGGGCCTTCTTTTTTTATTTGGCCTTTCTCTTTTTTATTTATTTCCTCACATGGGAAAATGCTCTAATAATGAAAATCATCACACTTCTATTTACTTACAACTCAAGAATTACAACTCGATACTAGAACAAAAATATGACTCTATGTGAATGCCTTCGGTGGTGTACCAGGATGTGCAATGAATCAAGAGTGACATGTATAAACAATATGATGAACGGTGGCTTTGCCATAAATACGATGTCAACTACATGATCATGCAAAGCAATATAACAATGATGGAATGTGTCATGATAAACGGAATGGTGGAAAGTTGCATGGCAATATATCTCGGAATGGCTATGAAAATGCCATAATAGGTAGGTATGGTGGTTATTTTGAGGAAGGATATGTGGTGGGTTTATGGTACCGGCGAAAGTTACGCGGTACTAGAGAGGCTAGCAATGGCCGAAAGGTGAGAGTGCGTATAATCCATGGACTCAACATTAGTCATAAAGAACTCACATACTTATTGTAAAAATCTATTAGTCATCGAAACAAAGTATTACGCGCGTGCTCCTAGGGGGATAGATTGGTAGGAAAAGACCATCGCTCGTCCCGACCGCCACTCATAAGGAAGACAATCAAAAAACATCCCATGCTCCAATTTCGTTACATAACGGTTCACCATACGTGCAT